TGAATAAACCTAGCTCCCCACCTACTCTCCTTCCAAGTCAGTTTAATCCACATTCATCAAGTTGGCGTAACAGGCAAAGCAGTAATACATTACTGAAATTGATGCTTCGTTCATAAATACAACAGTTTGTGTTTGACACCTGCTTAGTTAAGGATTGCATAAAATATTGTAACACAATAATAACATAATTATAAAGTAATAATAATCAATAACTTGACAAAAGTTTTAGGAATAATTTCTCTAATCAATATGCATGATAGATGTAAGTATGATACATAAATGTATATTACTATATTTCATAGAAAAATATGTGATATATCAATAGATGTATGTATGATACATTGACAGGTATCATAAATTTGAGTATGTATGCTACATTGGTAGATGTATGTATGACACATAAATAGCATTATTATTCATAGCTAAATGTGTGTATGATTTATTGATAGTGTGTGTAAAATATATTTATAGATTTATGTATGATTAAATGTATTTATGATAGCTGTATGTATGATACATTGATAGGTGTATGATACATCAGTAGTGTGTGTGTATGATAAATTGATACATGGTGTGATAGACTGTTTTCTTTTGAACTGTCCTGGGGCAGACAGACAATGATTTTAGTGATCCGGTCATCTAATTGGTCAATCATTAAACTTGATTTAAAATTGAGTTTTCCTTTCCAATTAGATTGCTATATTTCGTAAATTCTGGATTTATCGAGAAAAAGGCCTCTGAATATGCTCAAAATATCTGACGATTATAGAATACGTTAACTGAATCGACTTCATGAGTATTGATACAAACATGATATATTTATAGTTGTGATTATTATTCAAACATGCCATTATGTCTCATATTTTATTCATTTATTAAAGCCAAGAATAAGTAGCCAAGGCTAAATACGTGATTTATCATTATTCTGTTCTGGACTAGACGTTTTCTTCGAAAAACCGAGAAATATCTGACATCTATGCCGCAAAATATATTCAAAATTATTTACACATTGGACGACTCATGTCTTGCTTGCAAAGTCAAATCAAAGCAACTTTTTAAAGAATATAATTGAATATCACACTACAGAAACGATAGATGATAATAGTTCACAAGCTTTTTATAATTTAAAACCTATGAAAGTCAGTAGAGCCAATCAAGAAGTGTTATTGAATGTCATAAATCTTAAAAGATATTTCGAAACATTTACCAGACCATAAGATAAAGTTACGAAACGTATTTTAAAAGTAAAAGAGATTCAAGAACTAAGAGACTATGAAAATAAAAACAGACTTGAACATTGTAATTCTTACTGAAAAGTTCATTTACTAGCAAGGAACAGTTATGACTCATTAGCAGAATCACGATCTGGAAACTTTTTTGTTATTAGATTCAAACCGCACTGTTTAGTAAAAACTTACACATATATCGGTAAAGCTGATATAGCGGACCAACAGATCGAAGCTGATGATTCGGGACGGAAAATCAGCGGCGTCATCATTATTGAAATACGGATATTTTCAATTTTGTTTTTAACAAAGCATGTCTATTATATAGCTTTTCTAACTTTTTCTAGTGTCGACGTGCTACCAATATTAGAGAAACCTCCAGTCCCTCTATCGGTCCGCACTACAGCGCATGCTGCATCAACCAGGAAAGAAGATTCCATTTCAGCTCTTTCAGAACACCTCGTCAAATTCCCCTTCCACTATATCATCTGGGACAAAAAGTTAATTCTTGCCAGAAACTGAACTGAAGACAAGCAAAGAAGAATCTGTGAAGCCTTAGAAATAAACCGACGTTTTCCTGAATTAAATCGTGAAACTGGACATTACATCTTCAAAATATGGCTTCATTAACCTCAACTTTTAGCCTTTTTTCATCCTTTACCTGTCTGTTTTATCTATTTTTTATTCATTGCTATTGTTCTGTTATTACCTGCCTTTCTACTTCATGTTCCCCCCTCCTATTTTTTGCTCTATATTTCCATTTTACTACCAAATAACCAACCAAACCTCCTACTTCATTTCATCTGATGACGGTACATTCTGTTGAAACGTTATGTTCTTTGTTATTAAAGACGTGTGTTATACCATAATATTATATTCCCTTGTGTTTCCACACGTCATTGTGACTGTACTTACTATAACATGAAATGGCATGAACCGTGAAACGACCGACGAAAATGTGAAATGACAAGGAAGCGACAGGAAACAACTTCAAACTAATATGCGATGAATTCTACGCATGCTAATCAGGTTGAACATGTACTTCATTTTAAGAAAATGTGCATTTGGGAAGAGTGCACTTCATTGACCTATTATTGGGAGACGTCTTTCATATTTTCCAGGGAGTTCAATTTTGTCATATAAAGCTTGCTTAAAATTTAACGCAAAGTATTTTGAGGTCGTTTTCCTGCTCGGTCAGTTTTAAGACACCTTTGGGTCATAATGTTAGTAATGATACATATATACCATATATGTATTTTACACAATTTCTCGATTTTCAAGGTACCAAACCACCAACACACCGACACTAGTAGATTCTATTTTAATCCTTAAACGTAATGGACGTTTTCCTGTCTTTTTTCCAAACGAACAAATACTATTGTCAGGCTGTCGAGAACAAAGGTCTGTAAATGACGGAAGAAGAAGAAGCTAGAAAGAAGACCTAGTAATTTTAATATATGTATATTAATAATTACCGCCAGTGTAAATAGACACATTATCTCTTATTATGATAAAATAATGTTTGATTATACGATCATCGACTATATCAAAGCAAGTTTTTGTTTACCATTAACTTTGAAAGTGATTTCATAAAAGAGATGTTAGACACAGATAACATGGCGTTTTTACTATCAGAACTGACTATCTGTTCAGTTTAAAGACAAACTCTCTGAAATTATATGACTTAATTATCGCCAAGTTTCATTATCAAATCAATAGCAAAGGATCCAAATCACCAATGATCACACCCAGAACAAATTTAGCTACATAGCCACCGTTATTGTACGACAATAGACCAACCAACAATAGTTATCTCATCGCACGATTATTTAACGTAATAAGATATACTTAACCCATCTCGTCATTATTTGCTACTGTTTACAATTATATGCACCTGTTCAGGTGTTAACACTTTGGAACATTTACATACACAGAAATAACAGGTTTTCTCCTTGGTCAGAAAAATAAAAATGTCTTTGATGAAAAACATCAAATTTTACACGTTTTTCTACCTTTTTCAAAAACATTTGTATCGATATTCTCAACACATGTTATATAATATTTTGAAGTGATACATAGCATTTCAAAAGTTTTAACTACATGTATATATATTATAAAATAGTAAATTGTGAACCAGAAGACTGAACTTGCAGTACCTCTCTAGAAACACCCTCCACTCATCATAGCGGAGTTTTAATTCAATTAAGGTTTTGGACCATGACTAAAGAGCTTGAAACTAGTAGTTTAGAGATTTGGGGTAAAATCTTGTCCACTAGCTATCTGCCTGGTTCACAATTCCTTATCAACATTTGTATATATATGGAAAAAGATTTAACATTCAAACGCGAATAATTTTAGGCACCATAAATTTCGACGGTGAGTATAGTTTTAATCCCATCATGAATTGCAAATTTAAATTGTAGACACAATTAAAGAATGTTTATAATTATGTTTATGACGCCTTGGTATTGTATATGTATTGTAATAGTATGATCTATAATAAAATACAGTTTTTAAATAGTTTTAAATATAAGAGAGAATATGAATATAGATGAGAATTCAGAGTTTGATTTTTATATTTTAATGTATAGTTCTGGTTTAAATAACAGTCAAAAACATGTTTAGATCAAGAAACGAGAACAACTTTTACAGGCAACAACCTTAAATTTAAACCTTAAAATTGGTATAATGTTAAAAAGTTACAATTACACATTTTATCTGCTTTTAGTCATGCTTATGGCGTCAGTATGAAAAGATTTGTATTTGATAATTTCAGACAGTTGGCATTGTCTTACAAGCTATCTTTTAATTCCATGTCACAGACAAATAGATAAACAGAAAAAAACAACACAGCCAAGACCAAACATAAGACAGGTCGATTCCCTTCCACCAAAATTGTTATGTAGCGCCCAGTCTGTAAATTTTAAAGAAGGCGTACATTCAATCGAAAAATAATTACAAAAGATGAAGGATCTGTCTTCTGTTGTTTGGATCCCGCTTTACATAATTATTGCCTAAACCCGTGAAGTAACAGTGTATCTATCACCATTATCTTATGTCAATAATTTATTAATAATGGAAGATGAAAGACTTTCTATCACATCTTTTCATATTTATGATCCACATTTAGCTCTACTGACGTCACTATTATTACACTATTACTGCAGACTATAAATAATCCACATTTAATGCTATCTGTACGCACTGTTCTAGTCCGAAACATCTGTCTTTATTTTAGCCTCTATTCGACATTTTGACAGTGAGTAGAGTCAGAAAAAGGACTTATTGCATATAATTAAGAGTTTTAACCAATCAGAAATGTCCATGTATGTACAGTCTGGATAAACAAAAAAAGTATTTTTGACCTTTCTTGATCGGCCACTCATTGGAATTCTGCTGGTAATTCTCTTCTAATTTAGCAAATTATGAATTAAATATGGAGAGACAAACTGGTATTTTTTCAAGTCATTAGAGCACCTCCACTTTCTATTCATAAAGGGAATCCATCTTTAACATTCTAATAAATTTACATCACTGCGTTTTAACACAAAGATAGGTTATACTGTCGAAATGAATCGAAAAGCTATATTGAAGACCGTTTCTTAGTACGCGGATAAGAGCAGTTATATCCGAGAAAGGGCTTAATTTTGTATTTGAAAGTAACATTTCTTGGATCAAAGGTAACAGTATTCGATTCATTTTTTTTTATGTGCAAAACTTAAACGATTTCATTGGTTTCCTGGGCAATAACAGAACTTCGATTAATAATAAGTGTATACACAGAGTCATAAAACTTACCTTTCGTTTAGCTCGTAGCTGATTGGAATCTCGAGCTTCGTCGGCGTTTCCAGGAGCCGTTCGTCGCCACAATAATACTCCAACTATAGAGTAAGTCACAGACAGAATGCACAAGGGTATTATATATGTTATTAACAAAACAAAAAACGTGAATGTTTTGCGAGCGTTTTCCGAAGGCCACACCTCGTCACATGACACAATATGATATTTCCCAACATATATATCCTCAGCTCGGCTGACCACTAACTGCACAGACGATAACGCTATTGCACCCACCCATATCGTAAAGAGTACATACTTTGAACGTGATGCTGCCAATCTGGACCTTAAAGGGAACATCACTACAAGAAAACGATCCGTTCCGATCGCCATATTCGTAAAGACACTAGCCGAAACGGACAAGTGTTGCATGCACAATACTAGAGGGCACATCGGTCTAGAAAATATCCATGTTTTTAACATGACAGACGAAAATGTAAAAGGTAAACAGAACACAGCCATGATGAGATCAGCAACTGCAAGGTTGATTAAGAAAGGCCGTATATCCGTCCGACACCTGCGACCTTTAGCGAACACAATTACGACTAGCACATTTCCGATTATTGCCGTTAATGCTGTTGCGGTATATAAAATTATTAATCCAATTTGCGAGGACTGACTTAGAATAAAAAATGGTACGTCGTCATCGGTTCCATTTTTTGTTCCGTTGCAGTCTGCAATGGAACAACTGATATTAAGATTTGTCATATCCTAATTATTCTAAAACATGACATCCTAGAATGCATTCATTTTCCACGCTGTCACACTTCTGTTGGGATTCAAACCAAACTTTCCTGTTTTCAAAGTAACGTAAAAGACCATCATGTCACACGACGACTGAAGATTGCAAGAAAAATACACAAATCACCAGTAAAGTAAATGTGTATCCATCGAAGTCAGTTAATGTAATGAAACATTTATAGAGTACTATAGAAATAAACAAAAAATAATCAATCAGAACTAGAAGATCTTCATGACGGCGCCAATTTGTACCACTTCGTTATCTATTTGTCAAAAAGCAACAAAAAGCTTTTAAGACATTCCACTAAAGCAAATGATGCATAAGAGACCATTCTGACACTTTCAAAGATTTAGTAACCTACTACTGTCCATTGTAGTGTACCATATATCGCTGTTTTCACCATAAACACCATACGAGACACGATACGGAAACAATATTGATTGACAAAATGTGGTTTAAAAGAACTTCAAGAAGCTAGTTTAGGAGTACCTGAATTATTTCCTGATGTAGGATTATCGGCCTTTAGTGACCCTCCGTTCCTCGAAACTAACTTACTCCACTTAATTATGAATTTAATGAAACTCTTATCATTTACATCTTACATTATACGATCCATAATATAAGAACAGCTACTATTCGACTTCTTTTTGAGGCGAAACAATGATGATGTTTAACGAACTATAAGTATAATTGTAACAAATTCCAATTTTTGAAGCACATCAAGATAAATGCTGAACCCAAACTTTGTCTTGGTAATCCAGTCATGTTTTGAATTCAGTCATTCAAAACTCCTAATGTCACTCAATTCCTATTGTCCAAAATTCATAATTATACTAATGTAAAATTCCAGCTTAAGGTCTTCGTTACTCATAACCCGACTACTTTCTAACTTTTCACCATCAAAGAACCGTCAGCCTTGCATCATTAGCAACCTGCTGAATATATTATGATCAAAGGTAATTTGACAATGTCGTATGCACATGGCTCACTGCCATTGTTTGGTAGGCTTGAATGTTTAATGATCCTTGGTCAATTGTACATACTTCTTACTTTTCAAACGCGACTTAAATTGGATATTGATCGCAGTTTAACTAGATATTCCACTTCGGTGACTTGGCAAAATATTCTTTTCAGGCCTCGCTTAACTGTAGTAGGTCTATCTAAGAAAAATATCAATCTAGCAGTTGAAAAACACTTCATAGAAATCATATTTTATCCTCATATTCTTAGTTTCAAATTCAAAACAGTTTAGCACGTGGTTGAACCACTTTAAAAATTCTGCAAGAAACCTGTCACCTGTTTGCATACTGCAACAACAGTGTTTGAAAATGTTACTTATTAAATTGCTCATGAAAATACACACATTATCCAATGACGTATCACTTTCCAAACACCAAGAGCTATATTTCCAATTTAGTATCCCAATGTATTAGGCATTTAAATCTCTTCACATAATTATCCAACTGGCTCTTCACAACCTTCCATTGCCAACCATGATAAAAGCTTCTATGCAATTGCAATGTTGATAATTATATTCGTGTAAGATCTGATCAAAGTACACTATCTCCTATCTGATTACGATATCTAGCATTACATAGAATTGTATGAATTGGGTCGAGCTGATTTGTGAGATCTTTCGAGTTAGCTTGTGACATACGAATTTGACATACGACAGTCCTGTGGTTGTAAATTGAGACATACTATCAAACACCGTGTGATATATTTATACATACATTATTTATATTATGCAAGTCTACATCAGTTATAACTGTGATTTGGGAAGTAATTACTTTCTTTCTCTAACATTAATCTTACTTCAATAATTACAGTTAGTCGGGATCATTTCCAGCTTATCGAGGTTACAGCTAAATGATTGGGTTCACGGGCATTTTTCTGATGGGGGTTGTGCATGTAAGTTAGATGATGAGACCAATTCTCGGAAGCAATGGCCGTGGAAGACGAATATCAAAGATTAGGCTATTCCACTGCCACTGTGTTAGATCCATGTTCAGAGCAAACTTTTTACTTTGTTATGGCGATGTGGTATGGATGAAGAAGATGTGAAATTTGTATGCCTTGTATCTCCCCATATACATATTTATCACGCAACAGTTCTGTTCCCGGGTTAATAACACAGGTTCTTAAAAACGATATGAATTCGTAGCACAGGTTAATAACTATGCTAATTCATGCACCGTGTACCGTGTTAAAATTGGAGGCGAAGGACATGAAATTGTTCCAAATAACAAAACTTTGATTAAAAGTTTCTATTCATTTATCATATGAACGTGTTCATCTAGATTTGTTACGCACAAGGAAAGGTGCAAAAAGGTGGAACTTATGAAAATCAAGGCCCTATAAAGACAGTGCAAGGAATTTAAGGAAAATGTACGCTTATTGAAAGTTGAGTGATAAATAGAATCTTTCACTCGTGCTTATGTCACATGAAATTTATGAAATTCGTTTCTACCTCTTCAAGGTTCAGGAAGTATTAAATCTGGCAACTCATTTTAGTTTATGTGCCGGAACTTGACCCGGGTCTAATCAATATATACCTACATTCAAAGCTACGCCAAGATCGGATAAAACTGTGGCCTCTATCTTACCTACAATACAAATTTGACGCGATTCCACTCAAAGGCAAAGGCAATAACTCTAACAACATCCGTCCAAATATTACAAGATTCGAACTTGACTGAGATCTCATCAAGATATATATGAAGATCAAGTTTCATCAAGATCAGATAAAAATGCAGTCTGTTATGTGTTCACAAGATATACGGAAGGACGGACGAACGGATGGGGGTCAATGGCAAGATACATCTACATCTCCATGTAGACATTATAAAAAAGAAGTTATAATCAGTTAGTTGTTTCTCATAATGTGTCATAATAGCAATCTATTTAATCAACGCCTTTTTGATAAAGGACATTACCACCCAAAAATCATCATATGATCCAATCGAGTAAAACAAAAGGCTCTATCTAATCAGTGACCAGGAAGAAGAGTGCATTGATAAGATAAACTTAAACTATACGTTGATTTGTGCACGCTAATGTCTTATGATTTTAACTTAATGATCCAAAAAGAAAAAAAAATTAAAGAAAAATTTGAACACTTTTTGATCACTGATTTTCTAGTCTTAAATTTAACGATTTGTGATACAAATTGAATTCTTTTATACGAACCGATAATATATTGCTTGACAAAGACTTTTACTCGCATTGAATATACAGACTAGAAATTAACTTGAAGCTATGTATATTCATGACGGTGTTGCTATAAACAGAAATTTCACAAGCATTCAGTTTATGATCTGCAATAATACAACACATTACTTATGTCACGTAATTTGACCCGACATGTTCAGACGAGCCCGCCCCCTTCCAGATAAAGTTTTGTTTTAATGCTACCATAATTGTAAAAATATGACTAAAAGCAAAGTTTGCAACATTAACAAATACAGAAAATAACTCTGGTACAAAACGTAGACATTAAAAGGTATCCATCAAAAATCTGTCTCATTGGAAAACCAAATCAAAATCAAACGTAATCAATATATATAACAATATATTATTGGTATAACATCATCATATCAGAAGTCATAAGGCCATGTTAATAAATCATATCTTTTTATCACATACTATCTGATATAATACTTGGTTTATTCATAATGTCATCCGGGTGCGACTATTGTACATTAACTCTTAACCGCAAATGGAACATAAAGATTGCCAAAACATTGGAATAACAATAAGTTAGGTAATATAGGAAAAGTTATGACAAATCATCATGCTTGTGAATAATATACAATTTCATTAACTTTGTCAAAATCCACCCTGATTGCCGTCTGAAGTGTATACGAGAAATTATAGACAGACGGGCGTTTAAATATCGTATAAAGGGCTATATCCGGTGGGCCGAAGATTCACAGCATCTGGTAGGATGCGTGGCAGACGGCTTTTATCGAAACATATCGACTACTAGCAACAGGTCGACCTGGTCTTCCCTTGAGATATTTGTTTCATACACAATAGTGCAAATGAATGAAGACACAACTTTGAAGTAAGGTTTATTTAATCTATATTAAGGCCTGAACAGCGAATTCTCCAAAAACAACAGAGTGATTGAGTGGTGTGTTGAATTTGTTTTTAATTTGGGATCTTATAAATGATATATTACATTAAGATAAGCTCAGATTATCTAAAAAGTATAAATCATCTAAGACATCACCACTGAGTCACTGTAACTCTCATTGATATGACCCTGCTTTCTTCAAATACATTTTCTATTAGAGCAGTTTGATAATAAAAACCGGTCAAAATATTTTGCCGCAATACATTAAATAAACATACGGATTGTAGGAACCGCTGAAATGCTCAGTTGATAAGTGCGGCGAACTACGTATATTATATGTACATCGTATATGGAATCGTTGCAATCCATGGATTGCTCATATTTTCACCAATGAAAATATATAAGTAGCTGCTTTTGAAGCGATATTTTGCATTGGAAATTGTGTCTAAAGCGATGATATGGAAGATGGCAATAAATCTCACATCGAGTGCCGTAATTTACAAATTATGGAACTTTTTCTTTCCATTACGTTCGACAAAAACATTTTCTATTTAACATACAACCATTAAGCAAACTATCAATGAAATATTGTTTTCAAGCAGTACGTGTCACTAACAACTGATAAAAAAGTATTCATCTTCAACATAAGAATCCAATCTGACTTAATAGTCCCGGGAGAGACATAATCTAAAACATACTGTTGAAATCGAATGCGATAAATGGGTGATTCGTGAAGGCGTAAAATTATATCGGTAAAAGACGAAAGATTAATTCCGATTAAACGAGGGAAGAAACGAGAGGAATTGA